GACATCGGTCTTGTTTAACAAAATCTGCCTACTACATATTTAGATATTCAAAAACAAATTGAGTTAAAATATTGAAAGCTAAAGATATATGTAAATTACACATTTAAGCAGATGCACATACCATGGCTTTAGTATAAAGATGTAATTAAAATATAAAATTTAGCTTTCATGGACAAGTTGACATGCATGTTTACTGTGTAATGATCATGTTTAACCATACAAGTTTACAAACTTTGTTCAATATGAGCCTCTTTACTTACCTATTCAGTGAAATGAATAAATGAAGTAAAATAATTTAATTATGTGAATAGAACTAGAGTATCAGGTTTCAAACCTATCCACTATATGGTTTGGAAAAAATACATTTAATGGATGATGATATAAATATGCATATTTTTTATACAGTTTTAACCAAAGAAAAATTTATATTGAAAGGTTACACATACATCACTGAATGTAATAACTGTAATAACCTCCCTTCGTAAGCAATCCTAAGACCAGTATCTACAAATAGGGCATTTGGCAAACAGGCCCATCAATTCATTATTTATTCCATCCAGGAAACAAGTTTAATTCTACCTACTTCCCAACGTCCCATCTTAAGATTTATACCTTATGGAACTTCTCAAACTGTATAGACAGCTCAGTTATGATGCTACCAGATAGACTTATTTTTACGAGACTATATACAATGTTAAGGATATTGAACTTCTACTTGTGTTAAGCTAAAGAATATTTTGAGATTCAGATGGACTGCTTTCTCACTCGGCATACTCAACCATAACAGCAATTATAATGAGATACACATTACAAAGGAAATGAATTTCCTATCTTATCCATATATTTAAAGATCAGGAAGAGCTTTCCTTAACTTCTTTTATTACTGAAGATAAATCTATTTTGGGAAAACTTGTGAAACTTTTCAGTAAATTTGCATCATATTTTTCATCCCAAAATGAACAGATAATGGCAGAAACTTTTAACTTAAACGAAGGACTATATCGTCAAAGATACAGTAGATACAACCCCTCCCAATAACGATTTCCTTTTAAATATGACATTTTTTCTGTGCTGGGTACGATTTTACATTGATCTGACCTCCCAAAAATGACTTTCTGACAGTTGTGACATACAACCATGATTTTTGGGAGGACTTTTCTTCATATCAATAATGTAATTTACAGAGACACATGAATACAGTATGGAACAAAGAGGTCATACAACCGGAGATTGCTTCACAGCTTAGTATATGTACCTTGGTACCCCAGTGTGTTCAAGTCAAACTCCTTGGTACATACACGTAGGTGTTTTGGTTTAAAAATTTTCAGGTCCTGAAAGGTAACCAGGGGCAGTCAAAAATTGTTGTTTGTCTTCACCCTGCTAGCTGAAATAAAAATTTATTCTTTTAGTGAATGAAGTAGATTTTGAGCTACTGCCCTAAACATTAAGTAACTTGATTATGGTTCATTAGTGGGGTGTGTAGATTATTAACTCACAGTTTGTTGAGTGACAGACTCAACAAATCTGTATGGTAAGCATGGCTAATAAAATGTCTCAAGGCATTCGGTAGAGCTGCGAATGTCTCAAGCTGAGAACAGGAAATCGCTGTGAAGAAGAAGGCTAGAAGTGTTGATATAGAAATGTGACGCGGATGTTGATATCAACCAAAGTTGTGACTAAAGCAACAAAATAAACAAAACATGGAAATTAGAGAATTTTTAGTCAACTAGAAATTGTTTTAATGTAATATATTACATTTTACGTAGTATTTGTATTCAGATAGGATTACCTTATTAAGTATTGGCTAGAGTATAGCAATAATTTAGTTCAGATATTTATTCTTATTTCTTTATTGGTTCTTTTAAATTAGTTGAATGGTCCTTTTCAGAGCTGGGATCAAAGGTTCTAAGTTTCAAGGTGAAATTTTAGTTTAGGGTGGAGCTGTTTTGTTCAAATAACATATGTAGCTTCCGATGTTTGGTTCTTTGTTTAAAATTACAGCATTTTATACAGATATACTGTGGATTTTTTGAGTTACAATGGTGGTAAATACAAGTATGGAATGTTTTTTTTATTATGTTCAGTGAATATAGTTTCCAATTTTCTTTCAGTTTCTCTGATGTATACTTCTGGACATTTATTGCACATAAGTTTATAAAGTGATACTAAAATCGTGTGCTGAAAATAACAACAAAACGCTTCTTGATATAATAACTGACAAACTCGTAAACATTCAAAGTGACTCCGTTAAATATCCAAAACAAAGGTGGATGAATTTTTATGAAATAAATGTAATCGATGAATAAATTATTTTACATAAAACATAAACAAAACAATCCTAAGTTATCTTTATTAAACTATTATCAATCATTATTATTATCATACAGTGTACCAATTTGCTATGTTATCTGACTACTTATACAGTATGTAAACCATTACACTCAACCCCTGGGAATAGCAACTGTCACAGCTTTAACTCTGTCGTTCATTATCTGGTTAGTGATCCTCAGAATAATGACTTCCTGTCAGATGCAAATTTTTATTATAGCAGATACGTCACTCATATCTAAGAGGGGCAACTGTACTTTAGGAAAGCATTTAAAAAAATATTTTATTGTTTCATCTACTTTTTTAGTTGTTTTTTAAATGGGTTTCTGGTATTTCAGAGGAAAACACCCTAGGTGTTGCTTGAGTTTCAGAGAACGTTTTATAAAATGTCCCACTGAAAGTTAATTGATAACTTAATTTAAATTATTTCTTTTGATCTATAAAAGTGATAATTATATAACTAATTGATTAATGGTATTTCCAAACTAGCCAATAATACTCAACTGTTGCGAAAGGTATATTTTATAGAAAAGTTTCATGAAATGAGAACCTGGATGAGATCAAAGAAAATTAGTGCAATACATAAACTGTACTTTTTAAATGGATAGTATTAATGTTTTAAGCCAAGGACAAAAGATATTTAATTATCAACTTAATATATTTATTTGTACCTCTTATCGTAATTACTACATTATATTACTTAAGAATCAATACAGACTCATTAAGTACGGTGGTAGTTAATATTGGGGATTGTGATAAAAAAAAATGGCAGACACAAACATTGCTCATTTAAAACCATCTGTAAAATGTCTGAATATCAACAACGACTAATTTACAGTACTGACTTAGTAAAACTAAAGCTTATTGTACTTATAAAGCTACCTACATCACAATATACGTGTTTATGGAGTGAATAAAAATTTCACTTATTTCAACAAATTTCCATTTAAGTAAGTAAGTGACTTTTCCAGACAAGCAAACCTTATCACTAATTCTTTCACAGAACTCTTCCATCTGAGGTCCCAATGATTCTTTTCTTGCACTGAAAAGGATACTAGTGTTCGTGTGTAAAAAGGACAATGC